CACAACAGCCAAGTTATGGAATCAACCTAAGTGTCCCTCAACAGACGAATAAATAAGATGTGGTAGAGAGACCATTCAGCCTTAAAAAGAACGAAAATCTGTCATTTGCATAACAACACATATGGAATTGGAGAACATTATGCTAAATGAAATAGACCAGACCCAGAAAGACAAGTACCGTATAATCTCACTTGTATGTGGAATCTCTTAACAATTGAACTCATACAAGCAGAGAGTAGAATGGTGGTTACCAGAGGATGGTGAGAGGGGGTGGGGGAGATGGGAAGATGATGGTCAAAGGGTACAAAACCTCAGTAAAACAGGAGGAATAAGTTTTTTTTTTTTTTGAGATCTAGTATACCATATGGTAAATATTGTTAATGTATATTTTACATTTCAAAATTGCTAACAGTAAATTTCAAATGTTCTCACCACAAAAAATAAGTATTTGAGGTGATGGTTATGTTAATTAGTTTGATTTAATTATTCTACATTATATTCATAAATCGTAACATCACTTTGTACTCCATAAATATATGCAGCTACAATTTGTCAATTTACAAGAAAAATTTTAAAAAGTTGTATCACACAGACTTCAAATGTTTATTAAATGAATTAATGAATTTTGTAAAAAAAAAAAATTAAAGAACATCAGTTTTCAGATTTAAGGGCCTATTGAGTACTCAACAAAATGCATGGAAAAGAACTACATTAAGGCCTAAGATCATGATCTTTCAAAACACTGTGGAGAAAAAGCTTCCAAAGGGGGTGGAAACAACATGCAAAGAATCAAGATCCAGATTCTCTACAGAATTGGACTCTTCCCCAGAAACACTGCGTGCCAAAGACAATAGAGGAATGTTTTCAGAATCCTGAGGAAAAATGGTTTCCAACTTATAATTCTTTCTCCACCTAACTATTAAAACAAGTGTGAAAGTAGAATAAAGATTTTTTTTTTCACATGCAAGGACTCAAAAAATTTCTTTCTCATGTTTTTAGGAAGTTAATAGAGGATGTGCTTTATTAAAACAGGGGTGCAAACCAGGAAAAGGAGATGGAGGACGATGCTGTGTAGCAGGCCAGAGACCAGAAAGATATAAGCAAACTGAGAGGTTCCCAAGAAAAGAGATGAAACTGATGCAGAATCTGTGTTTGAACACAGTGAGAGAGAACTGTACTCTTGACAGAGTTTGAACACAAATAAGTGACAGATCCATAGTATAGTAATGCAAACAAAAAACTCCAGATTATTATCTTTAGGAAAACAAAAAGCAGTACAAGAAAGGTAATGTAATAACACTGCACTTACGTGTGAATTATCTTTACATAGCTATAACAATCAATACTGATCTAACCAAAAGTTATTTTAAAACCATACTTGGAGTTTAAGTGTGGAGGGTGTACAGGATTTTAAGAGAATTCAATGCTTATCATGGATTTCCTAGTTTGGAAAGTAATATACTAAAACTGAAAAATTAAGAAATAGCCATGTAGACCCATTATTTTGAATATAAAAGGAAATACCACAAAGAAATAGCAAAGAAAAGTTGAAAGTGGCTACAGCTAGGGGGCAGGAACTGGGGATAGGCGGACATTGGAGAAGGGACTACTGTTCTTTTGTTATAAGTCATTGGAACTATCTAACTGTATGTTATAATCATGTGTAATACTGATTAGAAATAAAAAGTATTGATTGGAAGAAAGTACATTTCAAAGACTATTTTAACATCTATAAATGGAAAGAATTTAGGTGAGGTACACCTCTGAGGATGAAGATATATACACATCATCTCCCTGAATCCATGGGTTCGGTATCTGCAAATTCAACCAAACTTGAATAAAAATATTAAAAAATAAACAA